AACTCAATCCCTTCAAACGGTTCGATTTTTCTGTTTTTCTCTGCTCTCTACTCCGCATGGCACTGGTTGTTGTCAGTTCGCACATTCCAGCTTTTCGCGGATTACTCGGTTTCGCAACAGGACCCCGCAGGCCCTAGATGTTGCGCGTAAATTCAGGGAGAACATCCGTAACTACGGCCACTGTGACATGAATATCGCCTGTCTTCGAATTCGCGTAGTGAGCAGCCGTCACAGGGTAAGTGGCAGCAGGACCATGCGGCGTCGCGCGCGACAATTGCAAATAACATATGGTTACGATCGGCGCGCGCTCGCGATTGTGTTGTTATTGCGACATTGACATTTCGCTGCTACTATTTCACCTGAGCAAAACGATAATAACTGAAGTCCCTAAGAAGATGCTGTTCAGAAGGCATTGTGAATGTCAAATTATTGGGGTATCAGCTAATGAGCTGAATTAACACGCGAGAAGAACCCCTCCAGGTTTCTCTGCACCATAGTTGCTATGTTCCCACTCTAGTTATGTACATAAAACAAATCATGACGATCCAAGTCCTAGCAGAGTGCAGAAGCGTAGCTGAAATCTGAAGCGAACACAATCTTATTCAATAACGCAATGAGTTTATCGCGAGCGTGGGCTCCATTGCAAGCCCGCGGTGCTTACAGATTGCCGCACGTGCGACGCCGCGTGGTCCTAAAGAACGTCTCCCGCCGTCACAAAGCCTTCCCCCCGCACAAGCCTGCGAGAGGGACTGTGCGATGACTCACGCGTGCAAGCTCTGAATACAATGGCTGTCCCTCCCCAAATAGTAGAATGAGAGGGATCGTGTCGAGGCTCACTTCTAAGACCTTCAGAGTGTGTAACATTCTTATTTATATGAGTGAGATCTGACTAAAGAAGCCTACCCAACAGTCATGTAGAGGATGAGTACTAGAAAGCATGACGTATTAAGTACACCATTGTGAGTGATGAAATGTAGTGGTTCATCCATTTGATTCTCAATCGGCAGCACCTGAAACAGGTTGCTGCAGCGGAATTCAAACAGAGGACGGGAATATATTGCGAGAACTGCGTAGTGGCTACAGGCATCGTTCCACACTTAGGCTGCGTTCATACTTTGCGGCATCGTCCAGCAGCGACCATCAGCGTTTCGAGCGTCCGTCACGTACGCGACTAGGAGTATAGGTGCCGCTCTAGCAAACGGCAGCGTCTACCAGCGTCCACTGACGTCCGTCAGCAACCGTTAGCGTCTCGAGAGACCAGGAAAGTACGGATATAGATCTAGTGTCTACCAGCGTCCGCCTTCTTCTCTAGATACTAGGAAAGCAGGGATATGGTCTAGCGTCCACCACCGACCAGGAGTAGTAGATTGCTGATCGAGGATGGGGATGTAGGAGAGTAGAGACAGCTGGATTAGGCGTCGTGGAATCTAGACGTGTGCAAACGCACGTTCTACTACACAATACCGTATTCATGGTTGCTGGTGGACGCTGGTGGTCGCTGGTGGACGCTGG